TTCTTGGCAGTTCAGGGATATTCATTAAAACTTATGGGAAAGAGCCTATCGCAATGAGGGAGAAGTTCAAGCTGCTTTGAAGGAAATAAAAAAAAAAAAAAAAGGCCCCAGGAGCAGATGGTATACCAATTGACGTATTTCAGCTAACAGATGTTGCCCTGGATGCACTCATCAAGTTGTGCCAAGAAATATGGAGAACAACCACTTGGCCAACTGACTGGAGGAGATCTATATTTGTTCCCATTTCGAAGAAAGGTGACCAAACAAAGTGTGAAAAGTATAGAAGAGTATCATTGCTTTCACATACAAGCAAGATTCTACTGCAGATTATTCAAAAACAACTGGAACAACACATCAGCAGAGAACTGCCAGAAGTCCAGGCTGGGTTTAGAAAGGGTTGTGGCACTAGGGATACTGTAGCTAATGATAGATGGATCTTGGCTGAAAGCAGGGAGTACCAGTGGAATGTCTATCTTTGTTTTATCGATTATGCAAAGGCGTTTTACTGGGTGGATTACAACAAACTGTGGCTAACTCTGAGAAAAACGGGAATCCCAGAACACTTGATCATGCTAATGTGAAAGCTGTACTTGGACCAAGAGGCAATCATCAGAACAGAGCAAGGAAACACTGTGTGGTTTCAAAATCGGGAAGGGTGTACACCAGGAATGTGTCCTATCTCGATACCTTTTCAACCTGCATGCAGAACAGATTAGATTATCCAGGAGGCTGGACTCTATGAGGAAAAGTGTAGCATCAGGATCGGTGAAAGATCTATCAACAATCTGCGTTATGCAGATGATACAACTCTGCTTGCTAAAACTGAGGAGGACCTGAAGCGCTTGCTGCAGAGGGTCAAGGACTGCAGCCTTCAATATGGATTGAGGCTCGATATCAAGAAGACAAAGATTCTCACCACTGGACCAATTGGCAGCATCAGGATGGATGGTGAAGAGATTGAGATCGTTAACAACTTTAGTCTTCTTGGCTCCACAGTCAACACTCTTGGCACCAGCAGCCAGGAAATTAAAAGACATATTGTGATGGGAACGTCTGCTGTTAGGGACCTCTCCAAAGTACTGAAGAGCAATGGTGTCTCTCTGGAGACTAAGGTGCATCTGATACAGGCCTTGGTCTTTGCACTCACTTGTCATGCATCAGAGAGTTGGACAATGACTAGGGAGGACAGAAGGAGAATTGATGCCTTTGAGCTGTGGTGCTGGAGAAGAGTATTGAGTGTACCATGGACTGCTAAGAAAACAAACAGATTCATCCTAGAGAGGGTTAAACCAGGCTGCTGCTTGGAGGCAAGGATTCTGGGGCTTCGTCTGACATACTTTGGACATGTTGTAAGGAGGAGAGGTCCTTGGAGAGGGACATTATGCTTGGTAGGGTGGAGGGACAGCACAGGAGGGGAAGACCCTCTATGAGGTAGATTGATTCAGTGACTGGGACAATCGGGATGAGTGTGTCAGAGGCAATGTGATTGGCACAGGATAGAGCAGGGTTTAAGGCTATTGTACATAGGGTCGCTATGAGTCGCAAACAACTTGATGGCACATAACAACAACAACAAACAAGACAAAGGGAAAATAAATAGCAAACTGGCCCAAGCAGGTTCAACCTTATCAGTTAAAACTTTAAATGTAAATGGTTTAAACTCTACAATCAAAAGGCAATGATGAATTTCATATGACCCAGCTATTCCACTGCTGGGAAATATACCCTGAGAAAATGAAAACTGAGGTGCAAACGGAGACTTGTACACCAACGTTCATAGCAGTGTTATTCACCATTGCAAGAGCACAAACACAGGCCAGATGTCCAACCACAAATGAATGGATTGAGAAATTATGGTACATTCACTTGATGGAATACTATGCCCCACGCAGGAGCAAGGATTTGGTAAATTATTACCTAACTTGGGAGGGTCTGGAGAGCATTATGCTGAGTGAACTAATTCAGTTCCACAAAGACTAATATTGTATAAAACCATTATCATAGGGGAAGGTGAAAGCAGAGGGATGAGGATGTGTAGGGGAGGGATTAATATGGGGTTATACAATTTCATTGGGTGAGGGTGGGAAATTAGAAGAATCTGGTCTGGAAAACAGTGTATTTGAATTTTGTAAATAAACTAGTATAATAATAATAATAATAATAATTTTAAAAGGGGCAGTGATTGGCAGAGTGGATTAAACAAACACAAAACCATGACCCAACTACAGGCTGACTAGGGATTCATGTTTGATGCAAAGATACAAATAGGCTGAAAGTGAATGAGGGCCACAAAGGCCTGTCTTGTTCACAGCGTGTGTGTGGCTTCTTGTTGGGTAGTGAGGCCACTGGTCTGAATGACTGGACTTATATTGAACATGTAGGTCAAGGCAAGAGCTGTGGGCTCAAAGGCCTAAAATTGGCCCTGACTTCATTTGTTGCTGCTGCTACCAGGTGCATTGTTGTTGCTATGGGCTGTTTCTAACCACCTATGAACAAAAGAGCTGAACCCCGCGCCCTGTCCTGTGCCATCCCATTTTGGTGAGTGTCTTCAGCGTCATTGTTGTTGTTGTGTACCTTCTAGTCAAAACCAACTCATAGCTGAGCCTCTGTTGGGTTTTCAGAGGGAGTGAGTTGCACAGGAGATCTTCCCATCTTGCTCCTATGGTTAAGTCTTCCTTAAATCTTTTGATCATGAAGTAGGATGGTAACACATGAAGAAATACTGCTAAGAGAACAAACGAAGCCCGGAGAAAAAGTGTTGCTTAGGCAAAGAATTAAGTGAGGAAGCTTGAAATAAGTCAAAAGACTCTCTCAGTGTAAGAGATAGACTTTAGACTGGTTCATCTTCAGAATAGGGAAAACAAAGCTGGGATAATGAGTCACAAGCTGACCCAAAAGAAACATAAATTTTAACTGACACAACAGACCACAGAACCGCTGGAATATGTACACAAACAAGATAAGGGGTGAGGGGGAGGGAAGCATAGGGAGTTGTAAAAAAGAGGAGATAAGATCTAGTCAACTTACACCTCTGCAGTACTCAGTTAATGAGAAACTGGGAAGAAACTGCTGACCTAGAGGATAAAAACTCTTGGTGGACTATGGAAGGCACATCACCATTCTAGGCTTGGGCACTCAATTTTGCACTCATTCTCACCAAAATGAGTGAGAGTTAGATTTCTCAAACACTTGTCAGGCCAATATTCTGGTTAACTTATCAACAAACTCAAACAGGGTAAGGTGGTCAGAAGGCATGATTCCCAGTTGGGGAAATAGTTCCTGGCCAGGAGACCATACAGACCCACCAACTGCTAAGAGGAGTGGACACAGCGCTCTGGGTGATGGCAGTGTTTTTCACACCCAGCAATGCAACAAAGCAAATTTGGGTCTGAGGTCAAACTTTGACATGGAACCACCAGGGGCTCTGAAGCAAGCCTGGTATGCCAATGTCCTTGGGCTGACCTTGGGGAAGCTCAATGCTTTTGAACAAGGGGACAGAAGTGGTAATACCCTGGGAGGGTCCCAGGAAGTATTTGATGTCAGTATCCTTCCACTGTAAACTCTTACAAGGAGCTCTTCTCCTCCCACCTGGTGTTATGGGGGGTTACCAAACCCACAGTGAACTAGTTTCCTGCTCATGAGAACCCTACAGGGACAGCACAGGGCTGCACTCCAAAGGGTACCCAGGACTGTGACTGGTTGGAAACAGACAGCCAGACCTGTCTTGTGAAACAACTTGGAGTGGATTTGAACTACTAACCTTTGAGTCAGTAGCTGAATTATAGCACCCAGACATTCCTCATGGACAGCTCTGACTTGTTAAATGGGGCAGACTCGGGAGGCAGGGAAATACATTCACTCCCTCCCCTCAACTCTACTCTCAAGCCAAGGGGTCCTCCAAGGTCCCAAAGTCTGTGTAAAGAGACTCTGAGCCCCAAAGAGGCCCTGTGCCACTCAGGTCTGCACTGAGAGATAGTGCTTTCCTTAGTGATGATGGGAAGAGGGGAAATGCAGACAATGAATTCTGGCATGTGTGTTCTTGGGCCCTGAAGAGCTACAGACCATGAAATGACAGATAGATTGTAGCCACCCAAGGAGTACCAACCATCTTGCCAGTCCTCTCAGACTGTAGTCTCCTCAGAGGCCTCTTATCACCATCAGAAAGTAAAGGTGAAAACAACAGAAGCCCAGAGGCAAGGACTCCTGGTTCTTCTCCCAGCAACTCTTTGGGAACACAAGTGAGGAGGAGAGCAGAGGAAGGGAGGACGTGGAGGGGAGGAAAGAGAAGAGAGAAAAGAGAAGGAGGAAAAGGAGGGGACAGAGAAGGGAGGGAGAGCAGAGGGAGGACGGAGAGGAGAGGAGGGGAGGGAGAGGAGAGGAGAGGAGAGGAGAGGAGAGGGAGAGGAGATGAGGAAGAGGGAGAGGATGGGGGAAGAGAGAGGAGAGAGGGAGGGAGAAGAGAGGAGGGAAGGGAGAGAAAGGAGGAGAGTAGGGGAGGGAGAGAAGAGGGCAGAGGGAGAGAAGAGAGGCGAGAAAAGAGAGAGGGGAGGGAGAGGAGATGAGGGGGAGGGGAGGGAGGAGAGAGGGAAAGGAGAAGAGAGGAGGGGAAGGAGAGGAAAGAGAGGAGAGGAGGGAGAGGTGAGGAAAGGAGGGAGGGGAGAGGGAGGTGGGAGAGGGAGAAGAAAGAAGAGAGGAGGGAGAAGAGAGAGGGGAGGGAGAGAAGATGGGGAGGGGAGGGAGGAGAGAGGGAAGGGAGAGGAGGGGGCAGGGAGAGGAAAGAGAGGAAGGAGGAGGGGAAGGAAAGGAGAGGGGGAGGGAGAGGGGGAGGGAAAGGAGAGGAGGAAGAGGAGAGGAGGGAGAGGGAGAGGAGAGGAGGAAAAGGAGAGAGGGGAGGGAGGACCACTGGAATTGGTTTCTATGTTGGCTCCTCCTCCATCCCAAGGGAAGAAGCCCCAAAGTGGAGCACAGCACCAGCTAGGGGGGCATCCCGTACCACCCACCTGAATAGCAGCATCAGGGCCTGTAGAAATGTCCGGAAGTTATTGTGTCGGTTAATGCTTGTGTCATCATCCAGGGCGATGTTTCCAAAAACCTGGAATGGAAAAGCAGCATGCTGATGGTGCGTCTCCAAGCACTGAAGTTGCAGCCAGGCTGGAGGGAGACGGGCAGTCCCTGCTGGATAGGGTTTGAGTCTGATGTCCATGACTTGCCTGTGCCAAGTCACCCTGACTGTGCTGTCCGGGAGTGGGACCCCTCACACTCTGATCCAATATACCCTTGAAAACATTATGCAACCACAGGCTTTTCAGTCCACTTTCATTTTCCAAAGTGAGAAACACAAGACAAGAAAGCTCTCAGTCTTATAGTTCAGCATGTGGTTGAGTTTCTGAAAGACCATGGTTCCTATTGAGAAAGGTCTGTGACTCCGAGAAGCAGGAGGAAAAGATTTGTTTTAAATGGCATCATATCTCCACACACATTAAAGCAAGAGAAGTTTACAATTGCTGAAATAGTTTAAAACTGTCTTATCCCCTGGCACCATAACACCCTAAACTGGCATACAGGTCCAGCCAAGGTCCAGTGCCCCTTTGCTGGACAGAGCTCAGTGGCTAAAACAGCTCAGCACACTTGGGACCAAGACCGCTGTGCTGTGATGATGGGCAACGCCTGGCATGTTCCCCAGCATTTCTGAACACTAAGTTGAGTTGAACTTGGCACTCACCTGCATTCCAATGATGGCGTAGATGAAGAAGAGCATGGCAATGAGCAGACACACGTAGGGCAGAGCCTGCAGAGAGAGGGAGCAGATTCAGTTGGCCCCAGGCTGGCCAGCCCTCTCACCACCACCCATCATGACCCTGCCACACGCAGTTTCTGTTCTTCCTCCGTGAGACCCACCCAGAATCTTGGGGAGGATCGAAAAGGTCACTCATGGATGACTTAAAATGGCTTTAAAGACCACGACTGCTCCCAGTCACACAGGGAAGGCCCTGGGCCTGCATCCTTGGCCAGGAATCAGCAGCTCACCTTGAAGGACTGGACGAAAGTCCACAGCAGAATGCGGATGGTGTAGCCCTGGCGGAGAAGCTTGATGAGCCGGGCGGCACGGAAGAGGCGGAGGAAGCTGAGGTTAATGAAGTTGTTCTGCAAATGAGAGAGTGACCACTGACCTGGGGGCTCAGCACCCCAAATACTAGCAAGTCACCACCCTCAGCCCTCCCCAAAGTTTGCAGCCCTGAAGAGAAATGGTTAAAAACAGTTCTAATAACAAGTCTCTGCCTCCCACTCTGAGCTGTCTAGCCTTACAAGGTCAGCCCTTGGAGGACAGAAATGAGGGCCCCTGACCCGCTGCCAAGGGGTCTGAGGTCAACCTCAGGCTGGCCTAAATCAGTAGCCCTACTGTGTCTAGGCACGAGACAGCCCTGAAGCAACACCAAGCGGCCACAACCGCTCTCTTCCGACCCCCTGAGCTGGGGCAGGTGCTCCAGGCACCTGAAGACATCTCCAAGTCTAGACAAGTCACCTCAACAGATGGGAGTGACCATCTTGCTGATCTCTGTAGCCAACGGGAAGTGCTGGGCCAACAGCAAGCTCCACACTCACCAATAAGGCCCTGGCGGGAGGAGCTTCCACCTGGTCAGGGCACCTTGCACGGGGAAGTTAGACCAGGATGTGGTGGGCTGAGTTCTGGTGCTTAGCTCTGCCTCACCAGAAACCAGAGCAGTTTACTTTGCCTCCTGCAGCTCAGACCCAGACTTCCCCAGGAAAAGAGGTGTGGATGGGGCAGAGGGTGCATGCTGTGGCTACTCTCCCAGGGTTTTGAGACCACTCCCGTGGACAGGGCTTGCCCTTTGCCCCAAGTGTACTTTCCTGAGACGCTGCTCAGGGCTAGGTTTCTTTGGTTTCTACTGGACTGGCTAAACAGCCTGGGACTCAAGATCAGGGCTGTGGGAGACATGGAACACCAAGATCAGAAGAGTGCAGAGGGGCCTCAGCTGTGATCTAAGCTGCTAGGGAAACCCTCCCTCCGTGGGCAAGCAGGCAGTAAGGATGGGGAAATGCCTGCATTCAGCTGCCGAGAATAGCCGGTGGGCTGGGGATGGCAGGCCAGGGCTTTTCTGGGAAAGGGAGCCATTTCAGTCACAGCAGGGTGGAGGTACCTTCCAGTACCCAACCTCTGGAGGGAACACTGCTTTGGAACACCTGTTCTACGGAGTCCAGAGGCCAGGCTACTGAGCACTGCCCTGCTGTCAGTAACGGGCAACTGCCATGGACAAGGTTTCTCTCTAGGGATTTTGGCAAGTTATGAGTGGGCTCTCAGAAGAGCGATGAAAACTGCCTGCCCCTAGCCTGGTGATTGGTGCTGAGCCAGACGGTAAGCGTGTGGCTGTGAAGTACATCACCTCTGGTTTCCACCCCTTGGACTGGGACATAGCCTAGTCTCACCTCCCACTACACCACTGTACACCTCCCACTAAACCACTGGTGTAGTTTCCACTACAGCAGGAAGTAATGGCTGCACTGCTTCAAGGACAGGCTTTTTCAGGTGGCCACCTGAGCCTGGGAGGGTCTAAACTCACTGCCATATTCACAGTGCCCTGACAGCACACTATCCACACACAGTGGGGTGGTGATAAGCCTCTTTATCTACAAAGTGGAGACATTGGGTACATGCATTTCAGGTGGTGAGGAAAACTGAGAAAAGGAATTTGAGTTAGGGTATACATGCATGCACACACATGCACATACGTGCATGTATAATTATGCATGTGCACGTACACATACAGAAACAGACATACTGTGAACATGCATGCACACATCTATATAAACTTGCACGTATTCATTTGTGTATACAGGCGCACTACAGAAGTGAACATATGCATTCATCTATACACACATGCATGCACATACAAATATACACATGTAAACAGGCATATTAATATGCAGACACAGATACAAACATGCATATGTACGTATGTTTTTTCAGTCACATGTCCACATATACATATGCAAGAATGTTTGTGTACAGACATATTTAGACATACACACTTCTAAGCATTTACTTATACGTACACATAGGTAAATATACCCATATACAGAACATTCATATACACATACACACACTTGAATAATTCACACACAAATGTCCATATGCATACATTCGGTGCATAAATACATACACAGGAGTTCACACACATGTACATATACATGCACATGCATACAAGCACAGGTATACATGTAAGCAATATGGAAGGTGATAGGGTTTGCTTTGGGGAAAGAGGATCAGAGGGATTGTGTGATTTTGTGGAATCAGACGAGGAAGGAGTCTGATCAATAGCATCTGAACAGAAACCCAACAAAAGTTGGAAGTCACACAGAAAGCATCATTTGGACATTTCTGTGGCATCAAATGACATTTTCTCAAAACTCAGCTTTAGCCTCAGCTGCATCACAAACCTCCACTTCCTAGCAGGAAGCCCAGCTATCTGCTGCTTCATGTGACTCCTCCATCACAGCTGCTGTGCTAGCATCTTTGCTGCTGTAACTCCCGAGCATGTCAGGGAGCGTCCACTCTGTGCCCACAAGCAACCACTGAGGATGAGCATACACCTACATCAGTGAGGACAAGGTGGCGTGTCTCGGGCTCCGTCTTCTGAACCTCCATGAACCCAGCTAGAATAATGGCAAACCCGCCACAGTGGCCACCATCCTCCATTCTGTGCCAGGCCTGATCTCTAATGAAGAGCTCTCCTCCTGGGAGACAGAGCTGAGGGGATGGTGTAGCAGAAAGCATGGACTCTGCAGTACAGTCTACCCCCTTGTCCTGTCTAGACCTTCTCCTGCCAGTCCTAGGGGGTAAACTGCCTTCAGCACTGGCCCCTCCCACTCCTGGGACCCACATCTTTCCTCCCTGGCCAGTCCTGGGAGAGCCCAGAGGGGCCAGAGGCAAGAGGGCACCATGGGACAGCAGCCACACCCTCAGCCAGTGACCTGAGTCCCAGAGAAGAGGGGGAAGCGAAGCAGAGGAGGCAGAGCAGGGGTCTTTAGGAACCACAGAAAGTCAGGGAACCAACCGTTTCCTATATGAGATGTTTTCATGGATGGATATTTGCGAATTATTTACAGATGGGGGTGGTTTGAGCAGCAGGTGCGCAACACACAGACGGAGACAGGGGTTTTCACATTGTATGTTGGTTTGATGGCGTGAGTCAGCAGGTAGGTGAAGTAAATCAAGAGCCAAAACAGAAAACAAAAGAGAAAATGAGTCATCAAAAAAGCAAAACTCAAACTCTGAACACTTCACTGGAAATTTTTAGGATTTTTGTAAGCTTTGCATTCTTTCCTTAATATGCACCAAATTAAAACATATTTCAGAAACCTGTAGATAACCTACAAGTTCGAGTAGCAGCAGCATTTGCATTTGTTTGTAATGCAAATCCAGAGATGACGCACAGACACTTTTCATCCTTAGGCAAAGGTCAATGTGGGCTCTCAGCGTGCACTTGGGTGGCTCTCCTCAGAGCCTTTGCTAAGTCGCAAGAGCTATTTTGAATTTTTGGTTGAGAATGAGAACAGACACTCAAATTTTTGCCTAAGGAATGAAAGAGTGCATTCACAGAGTGAACACGGAGTGACTTCGGGTGAAAAACCACACATTCACGTGACGGCTTTTCCTCCTTTTCTCCTCCAGGTGGTGATGCCAGAGCTCCAAGCCATGATGGAGGCAGAGCTTAGCTTCCATCAGGATGCCGACATCAAGGGTTGCCAGAGTCCCACAAGGGACCTGAAGGAGGGCTGGAAATGACTACTGGTGGTTCTGAACATCCAAGGAGCAGAGTGCAGCCGTTAGAGACTTACTACAGGGAGCTTCACCTCTGAAGGGAAAGCACCTAGAAGGCAGCAGGACACCCAACTGCACCCTGCTTCATACCCTCTCAGCAACAGGAAAACCCCAGAGCTGAGCCCTTGCTCACGTCTGCCAACTCAGCTCTCCTGCTCCTTTCTGAAGCATTGGTCCCTGACATTCTGGGAGGTGACAGAAGCAGAGAGAGATGGTGCAGGCTGTGGACCCCAGGGCAAACAGTGCCACTCCACCTCTGCAGACTCACTGCAAAGGGGAGACAACAGGCATCATTCTCTTTTTTGGACTTTAAGGGGACTTCTTACAAAATCACAATTGCATATATTTGCAACAGGGCTTTATCATTAATAAATTGTGAATTTATTGAAAGTATTCTGTGCACTGAGAATACTATAGTCAGAGTTTTCTGCCATCTATCAGTAGAAATTATGTTAACAGATCTTCTGATATTAAAGTCAAATAGACTCAACTTGTGTGTACTGTTGGCACTAGCTTGTTTTGAGACTTGCGTCTACATTCCTGATGTGAGTGCCTCCCTCTCTTCCATTGTCAAGATTCCAGGTGTCAAGATTCTATTCACCTTGTAGGATCAGTTAGGGAGTGGTTACTCTTTTCTCAGCCTCTGGAAGAATCTGTCCAGGTAGGAATTATTATATTTGGTCATGTCTTTTAGGTAGAAAAATCTAATCCGTAAAGCCATTAAAATCTGTTTACTTTGTGAGAAGGACTAATTACAGACTAAATTTCCTTAATGATTTAGCGAAGAACTATTCCAGTTTAATCGCTAGGTTTTGGTCCAATCTGGTTACTCATATTTTAATAGCAATTTGTCTTTAAGTCTATTGGCATTGCTGTTGTGTACCACTGAGTCGGAATCAACCCATTGCTGACCCCTGAAGGGTTTTTAATTGCATGGGAGGAGACTGCTCATCCTTCTCCTGCGGTTCTGGTGGATTGGAACCTCAGGCCTTTAGGATTGCAGAACTGTTTTTTTAAAAAGCACACACACACACACACACACACACACACACACACACACACCCAAAGCCAAAAAACAACAAAACAAAACCCAACCAAAACCAAACTCTTTTTCATTTAAGCATTATTTTATTTGGGTAATGAAGAACATGTTGAGTCTATTGTTGTTGTTGTGTACCATTGAGTCGGACCCGACCCATAGCTCCAGCGCGTTTTCAGAGGCAGTTAACTGCACACGAGGAGATTGGCCATCTGTCTCCCAAGGAGCAGCTGGTGGCCTCGAACTGAGAGCCTTCAGGTTTGCAGTGCAGCTTCTTGTCACTAGGCCACCAGAGCTCCCTTTATTGGCTTTAAATTGTTCAAAATATATTTTAAAGTTCTCGTTCCTGAAGTTATGACTCATATCTTCAAATAATATTTAATTGTATTCTTCCTTTTTCTATATAGTCAATCATTCCAGAAATGTCTCAATTTGAAAATCTCTAAAGAAGTAAATTTTGCTAGTTTAACAAAGTTGGTTCTTCCGTATGTTTGCTACTTTTAAAATTTTCATAATTTTATCTATTCTACAGCTTATTTCCCCTTTTATTTCTAACTTAAAGTAGATGCTTAACTCATTTGAACACTTAGGATTTCAAGTTTGTTTCAAAATGCCTTTCACCATTTCCTATCAGTTTTGGTAGATGTTTTAATTCCTCTCAGTTGCATTCTCTAATTTCCAACACTATTCAATTCCATTTCTGATCGGTGACTTTCCTCCTTGAAAGTGTACCAGTGTTCTGTTCATCTCCCTTGGGTTTCATCACCTCTGTCCAGGCTCCACTGTGGTGAGGACATTACATAACTGGACCTCAAGCAGGTCCCATCTGTGCCAAGGGTGTCAGGATGAATCCTCCAAATGCTCATGGCCCTGCCACATGTGGGAGGTGTCAGAACCCTGGGGTCTGGGCCATGCGAGACGCAGTCCCAGCTCCTCACACTGGCTTTTGTGGGCAGCAGTACACTCCAGTAGGGGAATTCTGGTCACTCTGCCCCTGAGAGGCTCAAGCAGGAGGCCTGGCAGCAGCTGAGTGTGAATGGCTCTGCCACTTGAGTCTTACTTCCAATGACCTCATGGTGTTAGTGGTATTTGTATCCAAAAAAACCCACGACAGAGTAGGACATCCAGTGTGAGGCATGTGGTGTAGGCCATGCAGAGGGGACAGTTAATGCCGAGAAAAGTCACTTCTGGTGTGCATTGCGGGCACAGATCCTATGTGGGGCATGGGTGGGCTGCCTCAGACCACTGCTACCGACTAGAAATGCTCCACTCAGACATGGCCCAGAAAGACCCATGCATCAGGCATCTACCTGGTGTACAGATAGAAGCTGCTTACAGAAAGGATTCAAAAGATATCTACACTAGGCCGAAAGAATGGTCAGGGTTCTCGAGGACATAGTTTGGGGGCATCCTGGAAGAATCACTACTGATCACCAGAGGGTACCACTGCACGGGAAGCACTGATTCCAGAAGACTAACAGCAGGCATGTTCACACAGTGACCCGAGAACAGAACGATCATGACTAAGGCTGGACATACAATCAAGTCAGTACGGCTGATGACAACTGCCAGTGTTGGCCATCCGGGCTTCTGTGTAGAAAGGTCAACATCACACCTCTATCTGCACCATGCAGGACGACTCTCAATGGAAGTTGGCAGGAAGCTGGGCACACTGGCATTTCCTTGGCAAGGGCAAGGTCTCATCACAATTGAGTGGTACACGTTGCAGGAGTGGGTGTGTGGAGCATACTCCAGATGTGAGTGCAAACAGTCAATTTTCCCGGTGTGGTGGGAGATTTAAATACTCTCGTTGTTGTTAGATGCCATCAGATCACATAAAGCAATCATATGAAGAGCAGATCTGAACCCTCCCCATCCTGCGCCATTCTCACAATTTCTGATATGCCCAGGCCCTCTGTTACAGTCACTGTGTCAATCAGACTCATACGTGGTCTTCCTCTCTTTCTTTGACCCCCTACTTTCCCAGTATGATGTCCTCTTACAGGACTGTGCCTCCTGACAGCAAGCATAACCAATACACATTAGAGAGTTTCACCACCCTTGCTCTTTAGAAAGAGTGCCCTCGTTGCACTTCCTCCAAGACAGACTTGTTTGTTCTTTTGGCCATCCATAGGGTGTTCAGTCCTCTTCTCCAACACCAAATTCAAAGGCATCAATTCTTCTGTCATCCTTATTCATTGTCCTCACTGACACACAGCACCATTCAAAACTGCAGGTGTGGGTGGGAGCAGTACATACTCCAATTATAGATGAGAGTTATCAAAGTCCATGTGTAGATGAGAGTGGTCTATGGTCCAGGTGTGGATTTGCTAGCCCTGAAATAGTGCCTCATTGAGATACAGCAAAGGGATTCTGCAGAACATCTCCTCAGAATCAGCATGAGAGGCATATGACCACAGGACCTACTGGTGCACCATACACCAAACACTACAGCCCCTTAATGGTGAAAATGAAGCACCCCTTGCCCTGGCAGATGGTCAGCAGTCCCACCCTGAAGAATTCTCAAAGTGAGCGAGTTAGCTGTGTGGACCTGGCTGGCATAGCAGGTGGACACAAACCCTAGCTGCTGCACTGAAATACCACACACAGCAGCACCAGTCGTCCTTCTAGGGCCTGCTCAGTGGCCCAGGAGCAGCCTTGGACAGAAAGCCAAGGGCAGAGAGAGAGAGAGAGACAACTGACCTACTCAATCACGAGGACTCTGCTGTCCTCCTCTTCTCGAGCTCTCATCGCCACTCTCTCTGGTATTTCCTGTGAACTCTGAGTGAACGTCATTCAGTTGTCAGAAATAATCCATGAGCATTGGTAGAAATCAACCCCTCCAGTTGGTACATGTTGTATACATACATGTGCTTATGTTGTTGTTCCCGCTGCTGTGTGTCACGGAGTTGGAACCAACTCATGGCTTGCCCACCAGTGGTTTTTTTAGAGGTCCTCACAGGAGGAGATTGCAACCTTTCTCTCCTTTGAACCACTTGCTTGCCTTAGGGTGGCAGCACAAATCCTAACCATTAGGACACCAGAACTTCCTCATACACACACACACACACACACACACACACACACACACACTGTTGTTGTTATGTGCTGTCAAATTGACAATGACTCATAGCAAACCTATGAACAGTGGATGTGAACCTTGTCCTTTTCTGTGCCAGCCTCATCATCTCTGATATATTTGAACACAAGGTTATAGTCTCTGTGTCAATTCATCTTGTTGAGGATTTGCCTCTCTTATGCTGACCCTCCACCATTTCAAGTTGATGGTTTTTTCCGCAAGGAGTGGCCTCTCCTAACAATATGGCCAAAGGACGTAAAATTAAACTTCACCATCCTTGTCTCCAAGTAGCACATGTTCGTTTGCTTGAATATCCATGGGATATTCAGAACTCTTCTCCAACACCACAATTCAAAGGCACTGATGATACTCCTGACATCCATATCATTGTCCAACTTTTTGATGCATAGGAAGCAACTGAAAAGAGTGTGGCTTCGACCAGGCGCACTTCTTTGTTCTTTAACATTTTGGAGAGGTCTCAGATAGCAGATTTCCCCAAGGTAACACATTTTTACTTGTTGACTGCTATTATCATGGGAATGGATTTCAGATCCAAGTAAAATTAAATTGTTAGCAACTTCAATCTTCTCTCCATATATCATAATGTTGTCTTTTGGTACAGTGAGGGGATTTTTGTTTTCTTTTTTAAATTTTTTCTGTCTGTGTGTGTGTACCATCAAATTGAATCCAACTGGTACAGGAGGACATAGCCCCTCCTTCTCCAGCAGAGCATCTAGTAGTTTCAAACCAAGTACCTTTGGGATTGCAGTGCAGCTTCTTGCCACTAGGCCACCAGAAATCCCTTGGATTTTTATTTTCTTGATGTTGAGATGTACAACCCTATATGATAACCACCCTGCCCATCCTCACCCCTCTGCTCCTCCCCTCCCCCTCCTTGGATCCTCATACATGTGTTACTAGTTATCTATGTCTACAATAATGGTCTAATATACAGTATTTGTCCTTAGGGATTGACTTAGCTCACTTAATATATGTCTCCAGTCCCTCCCAAGTTAGGTAGAGATTTTCAAAATCATTGTTCCTGAGTGTTGCATGGTATTCCATCATGTGAATGTACCAAATTATTGAGGAATAATGAAGTCAGTTCGAGGACTAAGGTGTGTCTTATTCAGGCCATGGTCTCTTTGATTATTTTCTATGCCTCAGAGGGCTGGACAGTGAATAAAGATGACAGAAAAAGAACTGATGCCTTTGAACTGTGGTGTTGGAAAAGAGCACTGAACAGTCCAGGGGTGGCCAAAAGAACAAACAAATAAATCTTGGAGAGGGTGCAGCTGGAGTTTTTCTTTAGAGGCAGGAATGATGAGGTTTTGCCTCACATACTTTGAGCATGTTGCTAGGAGGGGCTGTTTCCGGAGAAGGACATGATGCTGAGAAGGGTGAGGGGTCAGCAAAGGGGAGGAAGACCCTCAACCAGGTGGACTGACGTGGTGACTGCTGCAATGGGCTCTTGTGTGTCAGGAAGTGTGAGGATGGCGCAGGATAGAACAGGGTTCAGATCTTCTGTACATAGGGTCACTGAGTCATACCTGACTTGACGGCACCTAACAACAGCAACGTTTGCTTGTGGTTGGACATTTGGACTGTTTCCATGTTGTTGCGATAGTGAATAACTCTGCTATACACTGGTGTACAAATCTCCATTTGTGCCTCAGTTCTAATTTTCTCACGGTATATTACAAGCAGTGGAATAGCTGCGTCATATGGAATTTCTATGTTCAGCTTTTTGAGGAAATGCCAAATTGTCTTCCAGAGTGGTTGCACTATTTTACAATCCCACCAACAATGTGTAAGAGTTCCTGTTTCTCCACATCCTCTCCAACAATTATTACTTGCTGTCCTGCTAAACTTTGCACTGCCACTGGGGTGAGATGGTATCTCACTGCGGTTTTGATCTGCATCTCTCTTATTGCCAGTGATTTTGAGCATTTATTCATGTGTCTTTTGGCCATATCTGAGTATCTTCCTCTGTGAAGAATCTCTCCATGTCTCTTGCCCATTTTGTAATTGTATTATCAGCCTCTTTCTTGTGGAGGCCCTTTAGGATTCTGTAAAGAACAATTGGGTTTTGATTATATTCTACTTCTGGATCAATTATTTTCGGTACAGTGACTCGGCATATTCCTTTTAGTACTCCCTGGATCATTCAAAATTTTGCCTTTAGCATCTCTCAGTATTGCAGCACAAGGCTTGAATTTGTTTTTCCATTCTTTGAGCATGAGAAATGTCAAGTGAGGTCTTCCCTTTTCATGTTCTGCCTCCAACGTTTTTTCACATTTCATTATAATACTTTGCTTAGTCCAGGCTCCCCTTTGAGATCTTATGTTCATATCTTTTATCTTGTCAGTTCTTTTATTTCTTTTGGCTTTGTGACATGCTAATGCAATTTTCAGAGTCTCCTCTGACATCCATTTTGGTTGGTTCTTTCTCTCTCTCTCTTTCTTTTTTTCATCTTTGTAATAACCTTTTGCTCTCTTCTTGGATGATATCCTCACTCTTCTCATCTTTGCCATTAGTTGTTGGTGTGAATATTTGAATAATAGTTGCACTAACATGCCTTTTTTCTGTGTTTATGCATAGTATCCTACCTCTCATAGCACCACACTTCAGGAAGGATCTTGAAATGGGTTTTTCTGGGGGGCTTTTTAGGTTTTGTTAATTTAATTTTTTTTTAAGTAAACTTTTTATTTTTATACTGGTTTACTTACAAAGTTTATATACATTGTTTTTCACACCAGATCTTTCTGAAATGGGTTGTTTGGTGTTTTTTTTTTTTTACTATGAATGTAATACCATTCTTCTTCAATTTTTCATTCTTGGCATAATATATATATATACACACACACATACATACACACACATACATATACATGTCTGTTGAATACTGTTTGTTACTGAGTGAGACTCATGGTGACCCTTCACTGGGTTTCTGAGGCTATAAATCTTCATGAAAGAAAACTGCCCATCTTCTGTGCTTGGGGTAGGCTAATGGATTTAAATGACTGATCTTTTGTTTAGCAGTGCAGAAGGTAATTAACCATACCGCTTGATTTCCCTGCCTAGTAAACAAGGTGGCTATTTTACAAGTTTCTAAATTCTTGGGTTTAGTGAACATGTTCTTCATGGCATTGTATACACACATGTTCAAGACACAGTAAACCTATGGTTCTTAGTCTCTCTTCTGACACGGGGGAATCACATGCTTACCCAAGCAAGTTGTAACATAGCACCCAGTCCCCAAACTGTCTCTGGGGAGGAGCCCCATCTGCCTGAGGGCTGCCAGGGTCTCACTCCTGAGGAGAAGAGGAAGTAAACCCCATTTGAGCCCAAGACCACAGCAGGATGCTCCCTCCAGAAGGGAACCAGTTTGTGTCACTGGATTGGGGCAGAAATCACTACTTACCGCAATCTCTGTTACTAAAATATCAGTAATACTTCCCAACACAGTGACAAAGTCAAAGACGTTCCAGGCATCTCTGAAATAGTTCTAGAGAGAAAGTAGGTAGTTAATGTTGGAGTGGGTGAAGTGCCACACAAGAGAAATGGTAGAGGGTTGCAATCAGGAAAGGGACAGGGGACCAAATGGGAAAGCACAAGCCAGAGGAAGCATGCTTAAGTCAAGAGCAAATTATCATGGGTGTTGGTGAATGTAGCACTAAGGCCACAGGGCCGAGAATGGAAAGCCTGGCCTGCTGCCAGAAGCTGGGTTTGGGACATAGAGCTCAGGCAGTGCTTCCCAGAGCCCTTGTAGTGTCATAGCGCTCTGAGGAATGAGCAATTGCCAGCCCCAGATCCCTCACTCTATGAACCACCTCCCCAGAGAGAGACCCAGATAGAAGCCACTAAAAGGCGCAGAAATAGCAACGCCACATACCAGCACCCCAAAGGCGATGATCTTCAGCACGCACTCCATAGAGAACATGGATGTGAACACTATATTCAAGCACTTCAACATCAGTTCGTACTCATACGGGGCAGCATAAAACTGTTAGGAAAGAAACCAGCAGGCTGTGGACTCAGAAGGTCGATCTGGGACTACCACAGGGAGATAGAACCCCAATGCTACCGGGCCAGAGATGTCTGCCATGTTCTCTCTCTCTCTACTCTCCCAGAACCTTCTCACTGTCCCAACCCAAAGACATCACAGAAAAAGTCTGCTTCTACAGGTTGCTTTTGCCAGGCTGCAGCTCATCTAGGGACCCCTGCCGCCCACCAGCCAGCCCACACCTTCATCATCAGCACGGCAGTGTTGAGGGCGATCATGGCCATGATGAAGTACTCAAAGGGCGGAGACACCACAAACGTCCAGGTCTTGTACTGGAATGACTGCTTGTTCTGAGGCATGTACCGCGTCAGGGGCTTGGCGCTGATGGCAAAGTCGATGCAGGCCCTCTGCACAGAGGGAAGGCACTCAGGAAAGAGACTACATATGTACCTCCAGCCTTCATTACAGCCATGAGCGGCCAGGCTGGTGGCCAAAAGGGACTCATTAAAATGGGCCCACATGCAGAAGGGACAACCAGTGGCCTCTTGCTTGACACAGACCCTATGTGGCAGGAGAGGGTGCATACCTCGTTCTTCTCCAGACTGCACTCAGACATGACCTTGTCCCCTTGTTCCTGGAATGTGATGATGATCAAAGCCACAAAGATGTTGACAAAGAAGAAGGGGAAGACCACAAAGTAGACCACGTAGAAGATGGAGAGCTCCATGCGATACCCAGGGCTCGGGCCCTGCTCCTCATAGGTAGCATCCACCGAGTGTTTCAGCACCCTGGGCCATGAGCAGACAGCCAAGCATTGAAAACTCACAGATGAGACAGCCTGGCACTCAAACCTCTTCTCAAGAAAGGGTTCAGGGCTTGCTCTCTACCAGAGCCAGGGATGGCGGGAGATGAGGAGAGTGGGTATCGGAAGGGTGCTGGTGGGGAAGCGCTTGCGTTTTATGTCTCCCAGGCAATGACTCTCCTAGAGGTGGCTAAAGCTTTCCTATGAAGCCTCTTGTCAGGCTGGGGACACTCTAAGGGCAACAGCCTCGAGATCATGAGGTTCCACTTCTAGGAGGAGAAGGCAGAAAGGGCCCGATAGCTCAGCCTGCTGACATCCTGCCCACCTGCTCACATCTAAGTCATCTGCTCTCACTTAACTGCTTATCAAATCACTCCCGTCTCACCTTACCAGGCAGGTCTCCTGCCCACCTGCCTCAGAGCCACAGGCCAGGGCCAGGAGAAAGCCCAAGTTTAAAGAAGACCCCTGCTGGTTCATCAGACCTACTTCTTGAAGGGGAAGGTCCTAGCCCTAAGTACTTCCCCCTAGGGGGGCCAAGAGCTCATGAACCTGTCAGACATAAACCTCTCAGGGCTGCCTTAACAGTTTCTGTTGTTATGTCATGCCAAGTCAACTACGGCTCCTGCCACCCCTCTGAACAACACATAGGAGCCATGCCCTCTCCTGAGCGATGCCCTTAACAGCAGTGAGAGGACTGGCATGGGAAGACATGGAGCACTCACTCTCCCTCTGGCCTCCGGTTATCTAGAAGGAAGTACGGAGACTCCCATGGTGTTCTCTTTGATGTAATCTACTCTGCCAGCCTGTACACTCTTGGAGGGCAGGGGTGCGCCTTCCTTACTCGGTTCCACCACCTGTATGCATGAGCTTATGTGTGCTGAGTGACGGAAAAAGATACCAGTGCAAATCCAGTCGCCACCACCCGAGTCTATCAGACCAGAGAAGCCAGATTATCACTCACATGGGCCACCCTTCTCCTGTGGACACAGTGAACAGGGTTAGCAGAGCCCAGAGCACGTTGTCATAGTGAAAGTCATATTTTTTCCACTGCCGTGGTTGAGCTTCCACTTCCACTTTCTCATAATCCAAATACTGTCCCCTAGAAAGAGAAAGAAAGAAAAGGTTAGAGATTAAAAACAAGAGAACTAAACAAAATTGCTCTGGTCAACTGATTTTCAGCAAGGGCACCAAGACCATTTGATGGGGAAAGAACAATATTTTCATCAAATGGTTCTGTGACAGCTGGATCTACACATGCTAAAAAATGAATATTGATCTGTAGTTAAATGTAAAAAAAAACCCCACAGCACAAATGGCCACATATTGCATGATTCTATTTATAGGAAATATCCCAAACAGATAAAAATATAGAAACAAACAATAAGGTAATGGTTACTTAGGTTTGAAAGAGAAAAGTGAACTAAGAATTGATAAAGGGCATGAAGTTTCTTCTTGAGCTCACAGAAATGTTCTAAAATTGACTAAGGGGATGAACAAACCCACTATGATAAATATATCAAAACCCACTTAATTGTGCAGTTTAAATAAATGAGTTGAATGGTCTAGTAATTATATCTCACTCAAAGCAGACTCCATTATGTAGAAGAAAGGATGGTCTTTTAAACAACATTGCTGGGCCAGTCAGAAATTCCCCAGGAGATTCGTACTACATGGAGAAAATCAGCTATAAGTGAGAAGGGGGGGGGGGGAATGAAGTTTCATAAGAAAACATCTCTCCAACTTGGACTACTTTAGGACACAAAAATACAAAGCCTAGGTGAGAAAATCAAGACATAATTTGGATTACATTAAAATTAAGAACTTAGTTCTTAGAAACTACTATTGAAAGGGTAAAAAAGCACTCCTCAGAGAGGGAGATGCAGTCTGTAATACAAAGAGCTGTCAAAAGACTCCTACAAATCCTCAAGAATAGACAGACAACCCAAACAGCAAAGCACGTAAAAGCCTGAACGGATATCTCTCACGAAAAGGCCCACCTGCTGGTCCTCCTGCAAAGCATACCGATATGAAGACTCATCAACAAATTGCATTGTGCAGGAGACATATCTTTGCTTGCAGAAAGAAGATCTGAAGTGCTTAGTAGGGAAAAACAAAGACTACAGCATTCAATATCGAGTATGTCTCAACATGAAGAAAATAAAAATCCTTTACAATTGGATTAACAGGCAGCATCATAATAGATGGGGAAAGATTGAAGTTTTCGCCTATTAACACCTACTTGAGTCCACAATCAAGATGCAGTAATCAAGATACCAAAATATGTGTTGCATTGGGCAAATATGCTGTCAAAGACTTCTTTCCAGTGCTAAAGAACAAGGATGCCAATTTAAAGACAGGGGCACCAGATCCAAGCCATGGTATTTTCCATGAGTATTCTTGGATGTATCTGAAAGTTGGACAATGAATAATGAAGACTGAAGAATACCCAATGTCTTTCAATTGTGGAATTGGCAGAGTATTGACTATGCCATAGGCCACAGAAAGGACAAAGAAATCTGTTCTGGAGGAAATAAAGTAGTGAAACTTTATCTCCCTTATGCGGGGCATGATGCCAGGAAATGCCAGTCCTTGCAAAAAGACATCACTATTGGAAAAACAGAATCAACAAGACAGGAAGATATTCAATGAGACATACTGACACAGTGATGGCAACAATGGGCTTGAGCATGGCAGAGATTGTGAGGATGGCACAAGACAGGGCAAGGGTTTTATCTGTTCTTCATAGGGTTGACGAAACAATGCCAACAACTGATCCACTGTCATTAAATAAGGTATCTAGCCTCACTGGTTAAACAGTAGGTAGAGGCAAGACCACGATGGAGCCACTCTAGCCACACCAGAAGGCTCACCAGCACCACGAGAAAGCAGCACCCACTCATGGTCATTTGGAGTGGCTGGCGCTCTCACTGTTGCTAATGAGACTGTAAACTGACACAACCGTCTATTAAAGCTGCGCATATGCACAGCCTATGAACCAGCAGCCCCTACCGGAAACACAGCCAAGTGCTCACCAGCAGAGAAGCACTATAAAGTTGTAGCAGCACTTCAACCGGACAGTTGGAGAGTTCCAGTATAAGAATGCCAGGTGCCATCAATAGCAGAGTAGGCAGGTGAGCTGTGGTTTGTTCATACAAGCAAATGCTTTTACAAACCAACAGTGAACAAACACTTGAGGGTCTCCACAGATAGTGGACAGCTGGCTCACCGTGCTCAGGGTCTGCAGAGAGTGGACATTCAGCCAGCCATGCTGAGGGTTTGTAGACAGCAAACACTCAGCTGGCCACACTCAGGGTTTGCACAAAGCACAGAGTGCACAGCCTGATGTGGGCAGTGTGAGCTCACTGGCCTGTTCAGCATGTGCGGTCCTTTCTCCCGCACCTTCCTGAGAGCAAGGCCTAGTGCACAAGGTGAGGGGCTCGTGTCAACAGGTACAGCTCCTCTAGCACAAAGATCCAGCCAGGATCACAAGGGCAAGGCAAGTGCCAGCAGTACCCCTGATCCCAAGAGTCCCCTTCCCAGATGGCATGTGTGTCCCTGACCTCACTGAAATGAGGGGGAAGTTCCCCGTGCACATAGGACATAGGAGTAAAATCATGTCAATGGTGCACAGCACTGGCCTAGCACTGGGCTCCTCCAGGGCACTCCTGTGGGGTCCCCCTGCCCACTGGCCCACCGGTCCTATGGCACGCTACATGTGCCCTGCCCCAGTTTACCTGCAGTCCCTTTCCAGCTCCTTGGACTCGTCAGTGCAGTAGAAGAACTTCCCCTTAAAGAGCTGCACAGCGATGACGGCAAAGATGAACATGAAGAGCACGTACACCACCAGGATGTTGAGGACGTTCTTGAGGGAGTTCACCACGCAGTCAAACACGGCCTGGGGGCGGGGGGGAGGGGCACCTGCATGCTCAGACTTCTGCCCCTGAGGAGACCCCTAGTGTCCCAGGCCCTGTAGATAAGGAAAAGCTCTGCTGCCAGTGCCCAGAGCAGGAGGAGCAGATGGGAAGTGGGCAGATGCACAGGACATGAGTTGGGACCCTCAGAAGAAGCCCAGGGCTCAGGGGCCCGGTGAGGCCAAGTCAAAGAGGCCTCAGAGCCCTGACCACTGCACGCTAAGACCAGGCAGCATCCACTCTGCCCACTTGCTGGTGGGAGCCTACTCGGGCTGACCCAGGACAGATGTGGCAATGCCCTGTGCCAGTTCTGGGGCAGAGCTTTTGCTGTGCTTGTGGCCCTGAGATGACTGAATTTGCTTCTACCATGAGGTGGGCCTCAAGACTGCCACACATCAGTGGGTGACAAAGAAGGACCTTTCGCTGCCCTTCACAACAGAGCCAAGATCCTGTGGAGCATTTGTTATGTCCACATCTGTTGCACACCAAGGACCCAGCCACTGACTAGTCACATCCAGCCACACCTATGTCACGGTGCCCCTGTCAGCTCAGCCCAGGCCAGCACCAGCTGCACCACAAGATCTGCTAGGATTTCCATGTGGCAGGGCTGCTGTAGCCCGTGTGGAGGACCGGCCCGCTCAGGCTAGCATATGCTTGGTCAGATTGTATAAAGCTGTGAAGGAGCTACTGTGCTCATTCTTCAGTGCCTTCCCAGGAGCCCAGCACTCCACACACACCCCCCACCCCCTGCTTGGTCTGTCCAGGAGATCCTTTCCACCTCTACTGCAGCTTTGGATAAAAGCACTGGGCCCACTTAGTTAGTGGCCCTGGGTTCAAGAGAAGAGTCTTAGACAGGTCTGCTGTGAATAAGTCCACTATAAGTTATGATCTGAGAAGATGAGATGCAGAGCTTCTCATCTCCTTCTCTCACCTCATGTGGAAGCTGCAGTGGACAGGGACAGGCTTACACATCACACGTGTACATGCACACTCATGACTGTGCACTGGAACATGTGCACAAAGCATATGCACACACATGCACGAGTGTGGGCACACACATAAGCATCTGCTTGTGTGCCGGCAATTACAGCACACACATGTGCACTATGTGTATATCCATAGAATAGGAATGTATGAATGTGTGTACATTGGCCTGCATACACATACATGGCTGTGTACATGTGTGCACAATGCACACACATAAATCCAGGCATGTGCAAGCAAACATGTTCACTTACACAATAACATATGCACATGAACACACAACTATACAACATGCACACAGTCACATAAACACAGCGGCATACACGTAGTGCAAATACTTATGCACATGTGCACACACATATGGTAATAAACTTGTACACACGTGAATACACATGTACATGGTTATGCACGGGAACACACCTGGCAACACAATGCATGTGCATATACATATATGCATAAAGATGTGAACTCATAGTAACATAGACACAAAGACATGCTCAGTGTTCACACATAATGGCCGGAGACACACACATATACCTGTGCATGCATGAACATTCTCACACACACCAGCCCATCCCAACAGCTCTAATTCTGCAAGTCCCAACCTTGAGTTTGGGCAGCCGCTTGATAGTCTTAAGGGGTCGCAGGACGCGGAGAACTCGTAGGGACTTGATGGTGTTGATGTCTTTCCCTTTGGATCCTCTAGAAGGAGAAGTCACAGATGTGGACAGGTGGGAACACACACACTCACCCACATTCTGCCTTAGACCTTAGGCTGAGAACCCAAGGACAGCAAGCCTGCACCAGACCTCACCATCCACCATCCACTATCAGCATCCAGCATTTAGGTGGACAAATGCCTGTGCCAGTCAGTGGGCACCTAGTGTGCACGTAAGAGCCCAACCTAGAGCACGGCAGTGGTTTCTAACACCTTGAACTCCCCTGGCACCCATGCCAAGCCAGCTATCTGCTGAGACTAGCCCTAAGAAGACAGGGTAGGACATGAGGACACACAAATCAGGCTGGGTGGCACCGAAAAACCACAAGCAGTGTGCCATCTTGTCCTTTAGCACAGTACCTCTTTCAGGGGTTCTTTCCCCCGCCTCTCAGGGTGGGGTAAGGGGATGTATCTGCTCCACAGCTCTCTCTGCCTGTCCCCCCTCAGCTGCCCTAACGCACACCTGGCTGATGCAAATGGACAGAAGGAAGAAGGGGAGAGGAAGACAGGGGACCTCCATGCAGGGAAGGAGCAGAGAAGAGACAGGTAAGTAGAGGTGATATGGGAAACAGCAGACAGGAAGATAAAGCAGAGGGAGACAGACCAAGTCAAGACCATCAGGGTGATGAGTAGTGACTGGGGTCTTAAAAGCTTACAATAAGCCACCTACGGTGGAACTACTGGTCTCCCCAATATGAACAAAGAAGAGGGAAGGTAACATTGAAGACGCCAAAACCGCGCGACATCCGTTCCGGCAGAAAGGTAATCGAAGACGCCAAAACCGCGCGGCATTCGTTCCTCAGGCCACGTACAGGGGGCATAAAGGAGCCTGACTGGCGGAGAAGCTGGGCAGACAAAGGGTCCATAAAACTCCCCACCCATTTTCTCAGGTAACATTGAAGATGCCAAAACCGCGTGGCATTCCTACACACCAGTTCTACAGGACACATCGCCTTCGCTCGGGAAACATTACCCCTAAACTTCAGAGACATTGGACCCAACATAAGGAACTACCAGCAGCTGATGTGTTTGGAATCGCAGAAGCCAAGGAAGCTTCATATATAAGCTATTAGATCAAGGGCTGGTCAATGGGAGATAGATGTGAAGGGAGTGGGTAGAAGTGGATGGGTATCCTGGTGGATGGTGGATCAGGGAAATAAGTGGGTAAAGACACATGTGCCAAAGGCAGGGACAACACTGACACTAATGGTTAACTCCACAATAAGGGATATAACTTTCACTTTTTCTATAAAATGCTGGTCTGTCTGATACTTCTCTAAATCTGAACATTCAGATTAAGACAGACTAGGAAGAAGGATTGGCCATCCACTTCTGAAATAGCAGGCCTCTGAAAACCCTATGTACATACTTTGGACATGTTGTGAGGAGAGAACGGTCCTTGGAGAAAGGACATCATGCTTGGGAGGGTGGAGGGACAGCGCAGAAGGGGTGGGAGGGTGGAGGGACCGCGCAGAAGGGGAAGATCCTCTATGAGGTGGGTTGATTCAGTGACTGGGATAATCGGGATGGGAGTGTCAGAGACAGTGCAATTGGCACAGGACAGAGCAGGGTTTAGGGCTGTTTGTACATAGGGTCGCTATGAGTCGCAAGCGACTCGACGGCACATAACAACAACAACAACAACATACAGAAACGATTAGTATAATAAGCCCAATTACACAGGGATCCTGAGAACCTCAACTTCCCTGACCCAGAGACCCAAAGAACAGGATGGTGCCCAGCATCCACAATTGGCTTCTCTGAAGACAATCACCGTATAAGGTTGTGGGCAGAGGAGGTGAAAAAGTAGAACAAATCTCAAAAAAGAAAAACGGCCCAACAGAGACTTGTGAGACCCTCGAGATTATGGTCTCAATCACCCTTCAAACCTGGAAAACTCATCCCTGAAGCTCAACTTCAACCAAGCAAAAGACAGATTTACAAGGTGAGCACAGAGGATTGCCTCCTTCGAATAATCAACCACTGAAATAAAAAAGGACAGTATTTGCCAGGGATGAAATAAGAACCGCAGGGAGCAAAAGGGGAGAGTGGGTTATACTGTGGGGAAGGCAATAAATGTCTAAATAAAATGTGAGTAAATGGTTGAGTAGAAAACCTTCCTGTGTTCAAATCACAAGAAGAAAAGAGAAACACAAGAAGGCAGCCAGGGAGGGGCAGAGAGGAGAACTGAGTGAGGCAGAGCATGACACAGGGTGCACAAGGTGCTAGCCAGTCTCCGGGGTAAAGAACTCTGAAGCCCAGGACCTGAGGCTGCCCAGGAACCCTCAAAGTCCTCTGAGGATTTAGGATCCATGTTGGGGTCAAGCCATCTACCAATGCCTCTCATCCTCGGAGAACAACTCCAGGGCCCAGCCTGGCTGGTCTCCTCTCCCAGACTAGACATTTCCCAGCACCCCAGCCCAGCTTCCTGTGGTTGCCTGCTGGTTTAGCTCTAAGAGGAGAGGGGACAGGCTTGAGAACATGACAAAAGAACCACATCTGCTCTGTCTCTGAGGACTTTGCCCCTCTTCTCCTCTGACATCTGCTTCCCAAGGCCCTCACTGGCCTACAGACACAGTCCCATCTATCACAGGGGAAGGCCATCAGTACACCCATAGGCAGGGCAGGCCTGGAGGGAAAGTTCTTCAGACACCCTACATCCGTCTGTTGGCCAGGCCCTGGTCTAGCTGGCTGTTCCAACCCACACCACCTCTCCAACCTCCAGCATTCTTGGGATACCTTGCTCACAATTACCTGTCTGCAGGACTGGCCTGCCCTAGCCTAGTCCCAACCCAGCCTGAGCAGCCCAGTCCCTGTTGCAGGGCCCCGCCCAGGCAACATGCAGTCTCATGAAGATGGATGTGGGTGAGCAGGAGGAACAGGAATGAAAGGGCCAAAGGGAGGCTGTGAGGTGGGGGACACGGGGACTATGATTTGGGAGACTTGGGGGCTGTGAGGTCGGGACAGGGTGGCTGTGATGTGGGGGGACATGGGGGCTGTGAGGTCAGGGCAGGGTGGCTGTGATGTGGAGGAATGGGAGCTGGGATGTGGGGGAACACGGGAGCTGTGAGGTCAGGGCAGGGTGGCTGTGATTTGGGAGACATGGGGGCTGTGAGGTCGGGGCAGGGTGGCTGCGATATGGGGGGACACGAGGGTTGTGTGGTGGGAGTAGGCAGGCACAGCAGCTGTGAAGCTGTGATGTAGGTGGCAGTATGAGGGGAAAGGCATTACCCCATGAAGCTCCTACCAAGAGTCCAGCAATGGGAAGACAAAGAGAACACAACAGGGAATCAGTATCACCAGCAGAGATAGGCCTTTGTCCAGGGCATGGCCCTGACCCCACCCTCCATTCCTTCCCAGTGCTGTCACCGTGGGCCTCTCTCCTCTCTGCATCTCACATACGATGCTGCAGGAGGTCTCCATGCACCCAGCCCAGCCCACGTTCAGTTCTTGGACACTTGTCTCCATAGGAGAACTCAGGTTTGGGAGTGAGAGCAACAGAAAAAATGGTTAGAAGTCTCCACAGGAGAGGATGCAGTAGCTGATCACTTGGGCACAATGGTAGGAGAGGACCACGGCTGCCATTCACCAGGGGCAGTGGAGGTGGCCCCAAAAGACCCTGTGAGCAGGTGTCACCCAAACCTGAGTGTCATGGGTCCTCTCTCAGGACAAAGCCACCTGGTGGTAAACAGAGGCCCCTCCTGCACAGCCCCAAGCAGGCAGGAAGGCCCAGGATCCAATGCTCCTGACTGATGGACAGAGTCTTGAACAATCAGTGTGGTCTATGGACGCCATGGAGGGGGTTGCCCAGAGAGCCCGAGTGCTCAAAGGGCAGTCCACTCTGAGTCAGGCAAATCTCAGTCATGCATGGAGGCTGAGGGGTCCTCCCTCCTCCCTCCCACCCAGCACAGCTCTGGGAGCTACAGCCTGGTAGGGGTCATGTCCACAGATACTTACGAGAAAGCAAATGCCACCAGGGCACCACTGACCACAATGAAGTCCAAGATGTTCCACAGGTCCCGAAAGTAGGCTCCAGGGTGCAGCAGCAGCCCCAGGTCAATCATCTTAGGGTAAACACATTTCAGGATGTGGGATAAGAAAGGAAGATGTGGCTAGGCAGCAGCATCTTGGGGAAATGGGACAAGGATAGGTCACACTGTCCCAGGAAAAGGGGTGGGACCAGGTCACACCATCTTGAAGGAGTAGATGTGGCCTGAGTTACCCCAGGGGAGAGATGTGTGGCCACGTCACAGTGCCCCAAGGGAAGGGCATGATCTGAGGCACATCATCCTAAAGAGAGAGTGGACCAAGTCACACCATCCCAGGGAAGAGAAAGTGGGCCTAAGCACATCATCTTAAAGGAGAGTGTGTTCAGGTCACACTGTCCGAGGGGAAGGATGTAGCCAGAGTCACACCATTCCAGGAGACACATCATACTGTCCCAGAGGGAGGACATGGCCTGGTTACACCATCCCAGGGAGAGAGGATGCAGCCTGACTCACATTCCTTAAGGTTTCAGTGTCACTGACACAAATATTCCTCCTCGTGCTTTATAATGGCCTGAGGGACACTGTGAGGTCTATCACCATCTGCTGCTCTTCACTGCATGTCAGGAACACTGCACTGGGGCACACAGGTGTGCTCAGACCCTCAGGAAGAGCCATTGGCCAGTCGGTGTGCCAACACTTGCATCCTGCCAGTGAGGCTTGGGAATGTAAGCCTCAGAGCCACTGTAAAGTGGGGCCCACCCAGTACACGCCTGCAGCAAACACACTGAAGGTGCTCTGAGGACTATACTGTTGTATACCCATGCAAGCAGGCATGCAGCCGGGCAAACATGTGCATCTGCACAAACATGCACACCCCTGAGCAAACAAACTTTTCTGTAGAAACATACATCAATGCAAGTATCCCTGTCTGGGCACACATTCACATTTGTGCAAGTACAAGAGTCTCTGCACATTCATGTCTGCAATTACTGGCACCTGTGCAAACCTTCACACCTATGTGAACACATATATCTGTGCAGTCATTCACATCTGTGCAAACACACACATCTGTGCAAACATTTGTGCACACAGCCCCTGGTGGGCACCATGTGCCAACAATAAGCAGACAGAACCCCACTGAAATAAGACACTCTTGCTGAGGACCAGACAATTAACAGCCCTTCTACATAGAAGTCACCAGCACCCCTTTCAGTGGCCTTCTGGATACTGGGCCGCCACCACCAATGTCATTTGGTCTTCCTATTTAATTGACCAAGGTAGTTCTTAGGGAGAGGTGAAGGCCACTCTTGTACACAAAAAGAAGCCAGTAAATTCACGCTGAGGAGCAGCCCTCCAGCACTGACTCCACAGAACTGACGTCACAGCACACGCCTTCCCCACGCCAGCGTCGGCCCACACATCAGCACACAAGTATACCTCATTCCCGAGCACACACTTTCCTCCATAACGCAACAAGTGGCCACATATCTCACCTTTATCACCATCTCAAAGGTGAAGACACCTGTGAAGATGTAATCCATGTACTTGAGAACCTACGACAAACAGGAAAGTCATTTCAGACTGAGCCAGAGCTCTGGGCTAGGGGGCTGGCGGTGCTGGGGACATGAAGCCTTCTTGCTCATCTCTGCTTCTGTCTCTGGAGGTGGCCTCATTTTTCCTATCTGAAATATGGGGTGATGAGGTGGCTTCTCTATACACTGTCCCACACTCAGCACAGCAACAGCCCTGACAGGAAGGAGTATCCACGGGGAAGATGCCAAGGACCCTGGCACCCCACAGAGTCCATCCCACCAGGGCCCCTCTGGCAGACAGGTGCACTCACATTGTTCCTGGGTGAGTCTGTGTGCACGGGGTCCTCAGCGGCCAGGGCAACACTGCTCAGGGCAATGACCACAAGAATGACCATTTCGAAGTACCGCATAGTCACGATGTAATGGCAGCAGCGGCGGAGCCTGAAGGGTAGCAAAGGTGGTCACAGGACCCCGAGACACACAAGGCAAATGTGTGTGTCCACCCACTAGGCAGAATCTTACAAGGTCACCTCAGGAAAGGGTTGCACACAGTGCTGAGCTCTGCCAAGTGCTCATGGGACTGGGGACAGTGTCAAGTGACCAGAGGTAAATAAGCAGAGGCATTATTGAGAGTCCGTCCCATGAAAGGGTAGGAAGACTGCAGAGACCTACATAGCAGGGTCAGCAAACTGGGGCCCATGGCCTGAGTCAGGTGAGCATCTGAGTCTGTAAATGAAGTATGACTGGAGCACAGCCATGTCCACTCGCATATTTGCAAAGATCTGTCGCCTTTCACACAACACTCAATGCACAATAAAATGCAAAGGTAATATTTACTGCCTGTCCCTCTACTGAAAAGGCTTCTTAGGGTAGGATGGAAGAGATTACTTAGAAAAAATCCAAGATCAATCCACTTGTGGAAAGCAAGTCCCACTCTTTAAAGTAGTAAAGACATTTGTCAGGTACACACCTTCTCAATCACTCACCTTCACTTTGCTCAGCTGTACTGTCTGCTCCTCTCAATACCAGCCCAGAGCCAGGCCACTCTACCACGTGAGCCTCGCCAGGTTCCCTCCTTTACCAGAGGGGACTGCTCATGTTTCTCCCACAGATTCCAACTGCTGACTTTTGCCCTGGTTGTCTGATACACATGTACTCAGTCATTAGGGTCCCAATACTCTGCTCAGACCCTGAACCAGGGGACATGGTTTGAAGACGATAGAGACTTGTCTTCAAAGGGCTTCACGGAAAAGTGGGTTGGGGAGAGAATGACATAGAAGGGAAGGCACAACATTGATGCCTAGACCTAGTGACCAGGTGAGAGGCTCACCCTTGAGAAGGTGCTTGGTGCCCACAGACTCGGCTGACTAAGGGGGCCAGTACCCACTGAGAGGGGTCGGTTGAAGGGGTGGCATTCCATGTGATGTCCATGGGGAGGGCTGAATCTAGATACCCGTTTTCCAACCTCACAGACACAGTTGCTGCTCAGTTCAGTCCCTCCCACCACCCACTCACTGCTTCCCTCCCCACACCTGTTCTAGCACAGGAAGCCCTGGTGCTCTTGGATGCTCCTTGCTCCTCATTCTGTCTCCAGGGCCAGGCTCAGTTCCCCCGTAGAAGTCCTCTGTCCCTTATAGCACTCCATCTTCCAGCTTAGCTCTGCCCACTTCCTCCCTAGTCATCCAAGCCCCCAAGGCAGATCCCCCAAACCCAGGGACACTTCACTCCCACTCAGCCAAAAAGAGAAGTGCCATCTTCTTCCAGGTCCACTCTATCACCACATTCTACAGATTCTGACTCTGGATGCCCTTTACAGACCCAAAACTCTGCCTCCTACTGTGCTGGTGGGGAGAGGATAGGTTTGTACCTCCCTCCCAAGTCTCTCTTGCAGGCCACCTTACCCCTACTGCTACAGTTGAGTACAGATGAGGCCATGTGCAGGAGAGTACAGGTGAGATTGTGTGCAGGAGAGTACAGGTACAGCTGTGTGCAGGGTAGTACAGGTGATAATTAGCTGTGTGCAGGGAGTGCAGATGACATCGTGTGCAGGAGAGTACAGATGAGGTCATGCTCAGGGGAGTGCAGGTATGGCTGTGAGCAGCGGAGTGCAGGTGAAGGTTAGCTATGTGCAGGAAGTATACGTGAAATTGTGTGCAGGGGAGTACAGGTGAGGCCATGTGCAGGAGACTGCAGGTGGGGCGGTATGCAGGAGAGTACCAGTCGGCCCATGTGAAGGATTCACATGTCAGGGGTCACAGGGAGCGGGTCAAGCACATAATGGTCAGGCAGAAGCTTTGGCTGGATGTCTGTGAAAAGAGGGGCTGAAGCCCTTCTCCTGGGCCTGCTGTGATGATTGAGGGAGTGGAAGAATCTGAGGGAGCAGACTCAGAGCTACCCGAGATGTGTTTCAGGAGTGTGCATGTCTGCACCCAGAGCCAGTGGCAAAGAGGGAGGCACCTTTGGGGCAGATACTCACAGGTTGGTGGGGCTCAGACAGAACATGGAGCTGTATGGGACAATTGGCCGGGGGCCACCCCGTGTCAGGTCGCTGGCATCTGCCTCCTTCTTCCCCTCTGTCTGGCTCTCCAGGTCCATGTTTCCACCTGCTGAGACACAGGTAATGGATTCAGGATTGCAAAAATGCATGTCCCACTTTCAGGCCAAGACAGGATGACAAATGGCCCAGATGTCAGAGGCCTTGCCTGAGGATGGCTCCATGGGCACCCGGGCTCTGTCTGGCCTCTTCTGCAGGGGGGCACTCGATGTATACCTCCCACCACGCCACTCCTCAGGCCCCTAGGCTCTGCCCAGTGCACACACCAGAGCCCTGAAGGGCTAAACTCCCCACGACCTATGTTCCTTTGGTGGCAAGTACTGTTTGCCTTGACTACTATTTTTTTCAAGATAGCTCTTTGTTTTTAACTCCTCTGAAGGTTATTTTGAGTCATATGGCTCAGGGATGTACAAGAACCTGCAGCCCAAGCCCTGCCACTGCCATCTCCCATGGTTACAGCCTTGACGAGATTAAGGAAGAGCAGACCAGAGAGGACAGCAGCATCACAGCCAAGGGTTCATTCCAGTGATACTGGTTGATGTATATATTTAAAAGAAATTTCATTCAAGAAGTTGACAGAACAGCAGAGAAAAAGCATGAAATAATCATTCATACATGATAAAAAACAATTATTAGCAAACCATGAACAGAAGACGATGACTTTTCTTCTCTTAGGGGTATCTGAAAAACATTTCATGCTTAATACTGAAATACTGTGCTCTCCCTTGAGCTGGGCAATGAGATCAGAATGACCATCATTACCACTTCTAGCTGGTCTTGTTGTAAGTCAATGGAGAAATGACAAAGGGAGTAGGGGCAGACTGGAGATGGTATAATGGTACAAAACACAAAATATGCCAGGTCAGTCAGTTTAGCAAGACTACTGGTTAGATTGGCAGGGAAGTGGTTAAAACACTTGACTATGACCTCAAAGCTCTAAGAGTGAGAGATGAGACAGTCTGCTCTGGAAAGATCATTGCTTATAAGCTTAAAGGGGCACTTTCACTCTGTCTACAGAGAATCCAGCCTCATGGTGCTAGGTCTGGATTGCTGGGTTTTCTTTAGAGGTATAAGAAGGACGTAAGATCATCCACAAAAAATCCACTGTATTTATATGTTGTTGTTGATGTGAGGTGCCATCAAGGCAACTATGCCTGATAGTGACCCTATGAACTGTTGGTCCAAACCTAGCATTGTATTTAACAAACTTTATGAAAGTCCTCAGAACTCACTAGAGAGTGAAGTACCACAATGGCAGAGACAAGACATTCAACAGAGACCTTATCTTGGAGCCCTACACTCTGCACATCACCCCACCCTTCATTAGCCCAGGGTTCAGAGGCACCTAAAGGTCAGAACACCACATGCTCCCAATATCACAGGTCAGGATGACAGCAAGGGGCTCTGCCAGTCCCTGACCACCACCCCCCCTGCCTTATTAATAGGAAAAGTAAGCAGGGGCGCTCAGCTTGTGCAGGGCAGGGCAGGGCAGGGCTGCAGAGGCTGTTCCTTGTGGCCCCTTTGCCAGAGCCCGGGTGTGCACAGGCAAAGCAGGAAGGTACGTGCCCCTTCTGGCTCTGCAGAGCATGGGAAAGGCCAAAGGGAGCTCATAGGTGGGAACACCTGGTGGTTCATGCTCCCCACAAAGTCAGGCTCTGGGCCCAGCCACTCATCCACTGCCCACTTCTGGTTAGACAAGACCGCCTGGCCATGTCCCAACTCACATGTCCCCCCACAAGTCTCTGACCTGCTCTACCATCTACTATGAGTCTTCGAGCCGAGAGGCCCATGTGGACTAGATACCTGGGCTACGGGCACCACACATCTGACTTAGGATGCTGGGTCAGCTGTGTGTCCTTTCACTGCTTCCTCACCGCATGACTGACTGTTCAGCAGAACACTGCTTCTACTATGGTGCGGCTGTTAGATTATGTTTTTTGTCCTCTTGTGTTACTACTTATGTATATTTGTGATTATACAGTTTACAAACATCACCAAACTATTTCATCATTACATCCATCTCCCGTGGATGTCCTCAAGGGAGGACGAGTACTTATGGAAGCTGACACTGCTCTGTAAGGCAGGACATGGTCCTCGGATTCAGAGCCACTTGGTCTGAGAAGGTGCGCGCACGCGCACGCACACACACACACACACACACACACACACCCAGATGTGGAGAAGAGAGGGAAGCTCTCAGAGCAGAAGGGCTAATAGTTCTTTTCTGACTGAGGGATATACTGCAGAGCTACCTTAACAGCTGTGTGTGCCAGGGAGAGCCAGGCTGGAATGCAAGCTTGCAGGATAGTCAGAACCTTGGCAAGGTGGAGGGACCTTGGTAAACGCTGCACACTTTGACCGAGAGGCAGAAGTACCACATTGTAGGAATAGGACTATGTTGCAGAAACAAAGACAAAATAAGGTTTCTGTGAGTGAGTCAACTAGATGGCACCTCACAACAACTCATACTACCACAGACAATGGCCACAAGGTCGTTCACTAGGATGCATGCTACCTGCCTGCAAGCAGAAACCAAGCATCTCTGGAGGAAGACAAAAGCGTCTAGATCTACAGCTTCTGGAGCCTAGGACTCAGCATTTAACATACCCACACCAGTGGCAAAGCACTGGAACCACATGAGAAACCAGTGCAAGCAGTCTTCTGAACACTCAGGTCTGCACTTAATGGACACAACACAATGGACTGAAGACCAAATCAGGAAGCAATCAGAAGCAAGGTTTCTCACAATTAAGGGGAAACCACAGAGAAGGCTCCTAAAAAAAAAAAAAAGAGCATTTTCTGGTAATGCCTTCTTGTGGTGTGGTGTAAACAGCGACTGGTCTGAGGCTCAAGGGCAGCCTTGCTCTGCAACACTGATAACTGGTGAAGCTGCAGATGCTGAGAAGAAGGCTATGGGGGCATGTCCTGGCTCTGAGCAGAAACCACCGAAGACGATATTGCCATGGACTTGCATTTCTGTGTTGATGCTACTGGCCTCCAGTAAAAGCAAATTCCCTCATAAATCCTTCCTGCAAAGAAAAGAGAGTTTCTAAGTCTGGTTTATAGCTGCATGGAATCAGTTCCTTTGAATGCTGAGTGCAAATACCAATGGAAATGGAACTGTGCTATTATTCTTTTTTGGACCACTTTTACTTTTGTTAGTGTTCTGGTTATATATTTACATAGTGAGTCATTTGCACCTGTTGTTAGGTGCCATCTAATCCGCTTTGACTCTGAGCAACCCACTGTACAACAGCTCTAGTCTGCCTGTCCTGAGTCGGTTTCACTGACTCCGACACACCCAGGCCTCATTTCCCCAGGCACTGTGTCAGTCCATCTCACCTGGCGTCTTCCTTTCCTGTGCTGTCCCTCCACCCTTCCAAGTATGATGTCATTTCTAAGGACTGACCCCTCCTGACCGTGTGCCCAAAGTATGTGAGAGCTTCAAACTCTTAGTCTCCAAGGAGAAACCTGGTTTCACTCTCTCCAAGACTAATTGCCAGAGTAAATCATCATGCTTAGTAAGTTTAGTCTTAGCAAAAAAGGAGAAGATTCTCAAAATGGAGTGATGCAGTACCTACAGCAATGACTGTAAGAATGGTAAAGAACTGGGTAAAGTTTTATTCTGTTACACATGAGGTTGTTGTAAGTTGGAACTGACTCAACAAAACTGAGTAACAACAAAATTAAGGCTGGCATATGTATGAGGGAGCTCCAGGGTCATAGACCATATAAAATTGTGCTGCTATGCTAAAGGCTGCAAGGGAACACTACGTGGCTTAGATGAGAAGTGTGCCTTAGGGCTGCATCCTTTCTCTATATCTATTCAGCCTGCATGCTGAACAAATTATTCAAGAAGCTGGGCTCTATGAAGAAGAATGTGGCATCAAGAGCGGAAGAAGGCTCATCAACAACTTTGTTATACAGACAATACAACCTTGCTTGCTGAAAGTGAGAAGGACTTGGAACCCTTGCTGCAGAAGATTTAACACTGCAACCTTCCATGTGGATTGCACCTGAATATTAAGAAAACAAAAATACCTCACCAGGGGACCAACAGAAAGCATCATAATAGATGGAGAAAAGACTGAAACTGTTAACAACTTCACCTTGTTTGGATCCACAATCAATACACATGGCAACATCTGCAGATCAGGAGATGTTTTACGCTGGGAAAGTGTGCAGTCAGGGATCTCTCCAAATTACTGAGCAGCAATGATGTTAGTTTGAGGATTAATGTGTGTCTTTTCAATCACTTGCTATGATTCTGAGGGCTGGACAATGAATAAGGATGACAGAAGAAAAACTGGTGCCTTTGTACAGTGACACTGAAGAAGAATATGGGATATCCCAAGGACTGCCAAAAGAACAAACCTATTTCTTGGAGAAGGTGCAGCCAGAATGCTCCTTGCAGACAAGGATGGCTAACTTTCATCTTGAATACTCTGGGTATGTTGCAAAGAGATGGTATTCCTTTCAGAGGGACATCATGCTTGAAAAGGTAGTAGGGGATGCTGAAGGAGAAGAAGACCCCAAACTAAGTGGATTAACACAGTGACTGACACAATGGGCTTGAGTGTGTCAGAGACAGCAAGGACAGGACAGTGTTCAGATCTGTTGTTAATAGGGTTACTCTGAGTCGTACTCAACTTGATGGCACCTAACAACAAGACAGTGGTTCCAAGTGAGAAAAGTCGGCCATCCTTCACTGCAGTTCCCGTTCCTGGAAGCCTGAAGGGGCGTCATGGAGTCAGAACCAACTCAACAGCAGTGAGTCTGAGTTTTGTTTTGAGACGTAAATTTGCTATTTGAGTATGTAAAAGCCAACTGTTAGAGATGCATACTGACATATTTATTAATAAAATGGCAAACTAGAAAAAATTAGAAGTACAACTGGAAAAAGATAAAGTAGATAATCGCTGACCGTACGTGACAGAAACATAAGGGTGCATTATTCTTGTCTCTCTACTTTCTTACATGTTTCAATTTTCCATAATACAAGAGTTTTTATGTAAGTTGCCTTACAGAAAAGACACATCGGACACAAAG